TTTAATATTTATTATAAATTAAGGCACATAAAAGCCAAGTCTCAAGATGTCATTTCTACTGGATACAACTCTGTTTTACATACACAGATATGAAACTGAATTAAAGCATTTCTACTGGAATCAACTCTGTTTTACATACACAGATATGAAACTGAATTAAATCATTTCTACTGGAATCAACTCTGTTTTACGTAGAAATGATTTAATTCAGTTTCATATCTGTGTATGTAAAACAGAGTTGTATCCAGTAGAATGGTTTAATTCAGTTTCATATCTGTGTATGTAAAACAGAGTTGTATTCAGTAGAAATGGTTTAATTCAGTTTCATATCTGTGTATGTAAAACAGAGTTGTATCCAGTAGAAATGGTTTAATTCAGTTTCATATCTGTGTATTGGATACAGCTCTGTTTTACATACACAGATATGAAATTGAATTAAAAAATTTCTACTGGATACAACTCTGTTTTACATACACAGATATGAAAATGAATTTTAATGAAACTACAAAAAGTTTGCTCTTAAGATAATGTTATTATCAAAACGTTTAAAAATACCAAATAATCGAGAAAAGTGTGTTCCAAACGTGGATTTTTAGAAACAATTTGTGTTCAAGATTGCTCAGAAATAGTACTGTTTACACTTACTTCCCACACTTATAGATATTTTAAACTAACTATTAATAGTATAGTATTAGTAATATTGTTATGTCTCTGTTTGTTGGTTAATTTTCCGTAGAAATTCTTCCCGAAACACTTCAGCACTATAAATCCTTTCTTAAATAAAACTAGTTTATTCTTTCTCAATACAACTTTGCAATACACTTAATTTCAGTCAGTTTAACTTAAACAAACGCTATAATTCACAACGAACGATTCACGCATTTTACCGCACTTGACTCAATTGTCCGTCTCTATCTCTGTCTGCAATTCAATTCCATCGTTGCCGTCACTTCTTACCGGTCTTATATATACAAAAACCGTACATCTCGTCTCTTCGTGAATATTCTAGAAACTCATCACGTGTTACCAGAGTCACGTGACTTCTGCTGTCGTAACGCTGCCCCTTCCTTTAGTATTGTTCGGGACGAACAATAGCCACTTAAATTAAACCAATAGATAACTTATTTAAATGTACAAAATTTACAAAACACAAAAATTAAAATT